CCCCAAAACCCCAAAACCCCAAAACCCCAAAACCCCATTAAGAAAAAATCTTTGCATTTTTAGCAATAGATTGGTAAAATTAATAATAAGGAAAATTCAAAACTTGAAACTAATTAGCCTCAGGTACAGGCATTCTTACAGTACCATCCATTCTCATTGTAGTTATATGATCCAAATTATTGAAATTGAGATGTGGCATTACTATTGATACTTATAACTGATTAGTAATTTGCATTAGATGCTGAACTTTAACAGATATTGATTCTAACAAACTCTTCATCTTAGTCTATAACAAAATCAGACTCTGATTCTAACTAGAAGTCCATCACTCATTAATGCCTCATCGGTTGACTGATAGAAGTAATAAAAGAGCTGCTACTGTTAAATTTATTCTTATCATTCCTATTTACAATAAAAGTCTCTCTGATATCTGTGGGATTTATTCTTCTTTCTTACGAGTGCTCGTCAATAATATCTGGCTCTCTAAATTGAGAATTAATAGCTGCCGATGAAGTATAAGAATCATCATTGGGAATATTGCAACTATCATAATAAGATGACTCGATCTAATCATTCCTTAAGTTTGTCTCAAATTCAGCATAAAGAGGTAATACAATCCTCTGAGTATTCTTATTTTTCTTATGATTCAAATTATTCATTATGATTTGAGCGTAATTTACAGATGAAGTCTCTGTTGAAGCCTTGATTTCTTCTTGATTATCGCTAATTTGTAGAAATTTGGAGAGTTTATTTTTATTTAATAGAAAAGCACTCTATTTGCTGCTGCTATTCTTTTCATTGTCAAAAGTCAAATCATTTATGTTTTAGCTATTAATTTCATACTTTGTTAAACTTTGTTATTAAACCTTTGGCTTTGGTTTCTATTTATTTTATTTCTTTGTTTTATTATTGTCATTGTGGTCTTGATTTACTTCGAAAATACTTATTCTTTGACTTTTATTCTGATTCTTTGTCTCTAATGATGTCTCTCTTTTGATCATTTTACTTTAATCATACCTATCTTAATACTCATGATTTTACGAATACTATGTTCTGAAATCCGACACAATTTAGGTTTAATTGTTGTTGCGAGTTAGTTTACTCAATGGAGGTTTCTTCAAAGATGTTTGAAACTTTTGCTAATCTCTGTTATTTACATAAGGAGACTAACTTAGCTGTTTATTTTTGGATTTAATAGACCCAATTGGAGAAATCGTACTCAATTTGACTCTTGAATCAGGACTATCATCATTTTATTTTTTAGAGACTCTATGAGCATAATTGCCTTAATTTTTCTTAATACTGTTAGTGAGGGTCTCCTTTGACTTTAAGTCCTTTATAGAGGATTTCGACGCTTATCTGTAGTGATTAATAATTGGCTTTCTTGGAGGAGACTCAATCTTATCTTTTCTGAAAAAGCTATTTATCAACTCTTTAGTCTTATTATAGGAAGTTGATTCACTATGTTTCTAATCGTTACGATTTGAACTCAAACTCCTGTCTTAAGTGGGATTACGACTGTTAGATGCGTGTCTTCTAAACGTTTCTTTGTATATCTGATGAAAAGCGTCTGAAGTTCTAATGTTAAAACTTTATCCTTTTACTTGACTAACATCATATGCTCCTGGTCCAACATTTCTTAATTTGGCGGCAGATTCGTTTTTAACCAAAATTTCACCGTCGAGAATATCTAATACTGTTGAAATCTTGCAATAATTTACACGAATGAGTAGCTATATTTCTAGAAGACTGATGATTTCTACATAAACCATGGCTGTCTATATCTTTCGAGACATAGTCCCCTAATGTGATTAAAGATTAAAATTTGATACCTTAAGTTAGGTGGCTTCTTGCAGTATTAAAGATACTGCAGCAGTTTTAGGCACAATATAGAGATAAGCATTGCTTTTTCTTGCCAATTGAAACTCCAGGAAGCATATTAGGTCTGTTCTCGAAGAGTTTGGTTGAGGTCAGAGTACTCTGATTTGTCGTGATATTTTGAGTGTCATAATATTGACCTGGACCAGGTGTTCCAGCTAATTACTTATTATATGAGAATAGGTCTTACATCCTTTAGATCTCTCAAAGCGATTTTAGGTCGTAATCCCAAATTAAGCCATTAATTTAAGCAAAAATAAATAAATTTTAAAATAATAGAGAACGAAATTTTAAATAAAAAGGTAAAACTAAACAGATATTTCATCACTTGAGGAGGTGTTCAACAGCCTATCTCTCGCTAAGGAGTTCATCAGTAGTCTTCTTAATTCTGGTTCTGCTAACTTCGTCGTCAAGGTTAAGTCCCTTAATAACTTCGTACTTTCCGTTCTTGGTGGTAACTGGGAATGAGAAGATGAGTCCTTCTGGAACACCGTAGGTCTTTCCATCAGAATAGAATGAAATAGATTGCATCTCATCACTTCCATTAACCCAATCCCTCATGTGATCAATGGCAGCATTACCAGCTGAGGCAGCTGATGATAATTTTCTAAGCTTAATGATCTCAGCTCCTCTTTGTTGAACTCTTGGGGTGAATTCGGTCTCAATCCAGTTGGAATCAACTAATTCAGTGGCCTTTTTACCATTTACAGTGGTGTTTCTAATATCTGGGTACATTGTTGGTGAGTGGTTACCCCAGACAACGAGGTTCTTGATATCAGTGACTCTTGATCCAGTCTTGAGGGCAAGTTGGGTGAGGGCTCTGTTGTGATCGAGTCTGGTCATAGCAGTGAAGTTTTCTCTTGGGATGTCCTTGGCGTAGTGTTGAGCAATCAAACAGTTGGTGTTGGCTGGGTTTCCAACGACAATGACCTTGCAATCTCTTGAGGCATTATCATTAATGGCCTTTCCAGTGTCAACGAAGATCTTTCCGTTGTCCTTAAGGAGATCTCCTCTTTCCATTCCTGGGCCTCTTGGCTTGGCACCGACGAGGTAGGCATAATCAACATCCTTGAATGCAACAGCTTGGTTACTGGTAATGACAACATCGTCTAAGAGTGGGAAAGCGCAGTCATGGAGCTCAGCTTGTACTCCCTTGAGGACTTCTTCCATATTTGGGAGATCAAGTAAATGAAGAATGACTCTTTGGTTTGGACCTAAGAAGGCACCACTATCATTAGATTAGAATGATATGCATATCTTACCTGGCAAGTCTGAAAAGAACAGAGTATGAGATTTGACCGGCAGCACCAGTGACAACGATTCTCTTTGGCTTATCAGAGTGAGTGGCCATACTTCTTGAAGCGACTGAGGTCAGTTGAGTTTTGTTGAGTTGCTTGAATACCTTTGAGAGCATCTTGAATATCTTTTGATTAATATTTTTATAACCTTAATTTATTTGATTAACGTCATTGAATTCATTAATCGTCAACAGACAACTTTTCTGTATTAACTGAGTCATGATTCCCTCCTCTTGGGGTTTTGGGGTTTTGGGGTTTTGGGGTTTTGGGG